TGTGGAATATAAATACAATGCAAAACAATGAACAAAACAGCAGCAGACTCATAGAAACTGAGAAGTGACTGGTGGTTAGCATGGAGGAAGTGTTGTGGTGGGTGGGTGGGGAGTTTGAAGAGGATAAAGAGGCACAAAAATTCTCAGTCAAAATGAATCTTGGTCAAGGGGATAGTAGTACAGCATGGAGAATATAGTCAGTGATTCTGTAACATCTTCCTATGTTGACAGATAGTAGTTCTATTCATGAGAGGAGGATTTAATAAATGGTTAACTGTTGAGCCAATATGTTGTATATCTGAAACTAATATAAGATTATACATCAACTATACTTCAATTTAAAAAATCTCAAAAAAAAAACCCTAAAACTAAGATAACAAAGTGAGGAAAGTCATAATTTTTAAAGGTCGTTCTTAAGGCAGAAGGAATATGAGTTAGGTCAGAAACTTGGATTTACAGAAATAGTATAAAAATGGAATAAATAAAGTCTAAACATATTTAACATTTTTTATTTGTATTTCCTGTTAAAGATAACTAAAGCAATAATAATAACAATGCATTGGTTATTTACAGCTTTTGTGACAATAAGGCATATGACAATGACATGAAGATGGAAAGGAGGAATTAGAAATATTCCATTCATTATATGTAAAACAGTATATATGATTTGAAAGTGGATTCATATTATTTAAATGTGAATTTTGTAAACTTAAGGCAATGAGTAAATAGATATAAAAGAAAGCTTAAATTAAGAGGGAGATAAAATGGATTCACAAATAATACTCAATAAAAGACAAAATAAGAGAAAACAAGCAGCAAAAAGCAAAATACGTTAGTCATCATAAAATCATTTAAAAATTGGTAGATTGGAATCCAACTACATCAAAAATATTTGTAAGTGCAAATTGTATAATTATATCAGTTTACAAGCAGAGATTGTCACTATAGATATTTAAACACAAGATCTGTATGCTGTGTATAAAAAGTCCAATGAAAATATGACCTAGATAACTGAAAAGTAAAGGGGTGGGGAAAATATGCACTATACACACTAACCAAAAGAAAGAAGAGGTGAACATATTACCTCCAGAAAAAGCACTATTTAGAACAAGTAGGTTTGTCAGAGATCAAGAAGATTATATAATGATAAATGGGTCCCTTATTCCCACTTAATATACAAACATGTATGTAACTCAGTTCTCCTTCCTAAATACATATGTACATAATGGAAGAATTTCAAAATGCATAAGGTAAAAATTGACCAATCTGAAGTTAGAAGCAAACAAATGCATAACTATAGTGGAATACAACCCTCCTGTCTCAGCAGTTGATAGATAATAGACACAGAGATTCAGTATGGATTTAAATACACACTATCAACCAATGTGACCTATTATTTCTGGAATACTGTACACCTTTTCCTCATGTGTGCATGGTATGTTCACCACCAAGAAAAAATATTCTAGGCCCTAAAACAAATCCTACAAATGTTTTTAAAAATAGAAGTCTTACAAAAAATATCCTCAAACCAGAACAGGATCAACCAGAAACATATAACAGGAGAAACATCCCAAATATCAGCTAATACTTGGAAATTCAATAATACACTTCTAAATGACTGATGGGTTAGGGAGGAAGTCTCAAAGTAAATTAAAAATATTTTGAAAGAATGAAAATTAAAAACCAGCAAGTCAAATTTGTAGAATGAAGCTATTATAGTGCTAAGAGGGCATTTTATAGCATGAATAAACATATGAGAAAGGAAGAAAGTTCTAAAATGAATAATCAATGATTTCACCTTAGGAAATTAGAGAAAAGAGGAAAATTTACCCCAAACAGGCAGAAGGAAGACAGTGATAAAAATTAGAGCAGAAATCAATAAAATATAAATGAAAGAGATAATGAAATCAAAATCCAGTATGTTGAAAAAAATTAATTAAATTGAGAAATGTTTCGGCATGCTAAACAAGGAAAGGGAAAGTAGAAGACAACACAAATATGGAAATCAGAAATGAATGATGCAACGTCATTGCTGATGTCACAGATATTAAAAGGGAAGGAGGACAGAGCACTTTCCATCACATTTTATAAGGCCAACATTACCCTGGTGCCAAAACTGGCAGACAGTACAACATGGGAAAACTAAATAGCACTTTAATTCATGAAAATAGATGCAAAATCCTCAATGAAATTTTAGAAATTTGAATCCACCATTCTATAAAAATAATACCCTATGACAAATCCTAGGGATGCAAATCTGATTTAATATTTACAATTTAATCAGTACAATATTAACAGTCAAAAGAAAAAAGAAAAAAACCCTTATGGTTATTTATATTGATAGGGATAGAATTTTGACAAAATTCAGCATCCATTTATGAAAAACACTCTTAGCAAATTAGATATAGAAGGACATGGATTCATCTTGATAAAAGTATCTATAAAAAATCTGATTAAAAGAACACCCAATGGTGAAAGAGTTTTCTACCTAAGACTGAAAATAAAAAATGGTGTCCACTCTGAGTATTCATATTCAATATCAAAGAGGACTTAGTCTGCAAATAAGACAAATAAAAGAAATATAAGGTATACGTGGTAGAAAAGAAGTAATAAAACTGTGTTCACAGATTAGACGTCTGTATATGTAGAAATCCTGAAGTACCTACAAAAGATTCCAGAATTAATAAATAAATTTAGCCAGATCATAGATTACAATGTCTACATAAAAAAAAATTTCTAACAGATTCAAGGCATAGTTATAGCATAAATAAATTAGAAATATTGTATATTTCCCCACATCTTCTTCATTGATTGTGCAGTCATTCAATTCAGTGGATACCAACTTACAAACAAGTGGAACAGATAAAAAGAAAACTACCATATTTTATATATTACCTAAAGGTGGTTTAAGCTAAAATGAGGACAAACCTTAGGGATGTGTCTTAGGGTTCATGAAAATGGCTCCAATGTCTCATTTTTCCTAAATGGCTTAAGTTGATGGTGAGGTGAGAGCAACTGAAGAGGAGGCATAGTAGTAGAAAAGAGTCTTGTAGGGACAAAGCACACTACCAGTCTAAGTATGAAAAGAGCAGTATACTACAGCTACATGTGCTGGGAGAGAATAGCCCCATATTCTCTGAGAACCTCAGAGTAACACAGGAGCCTGTCCAAAACCTCCAGGCCCGAAAGGAAAACAAATGAACAAAAAAAAAATTTAGTCCCAAGATCCTGTTACCAACGATCTTCCCCATCAATTACTCTGGAGGCCTTGGCTACAGCCTTGATGATTTTGGAGGCCTGAGATGTGGCTGTGGCCATGGCTCTGGCTGCATTAGCTACGGTGGATTCAGCGGGGCTGCTGCGGCCCCTCAATAGAAGATATGGGTCCTCAGGGTTCCACTGAAAAATGTTATCAATCACTGGATCTATCTGTCACTCTGAACAGACAACTTATTCTTGTTTTTTTCTCTTCCTATCTCAGTGTCAAGCATATTATTAACCTCATTAACTGCAAAGACTGCTCCCCTCACACACCATTGCAGAAGGCACTCTGAAGGAAGACTCATTCCTCTTGGCAGAATGTCGTCAAATAAACGGGGATTCCTTCCAGAATGGCTGCATTTTGGAACTCTTGCTACTTCACTAGTCCTCTTGGGACAACTCTGTGCCTGCTTCCCATTAAAGATTCTTCATTGCCATAACAAACTTGGTTTCATTTTGATTTGTTTATGTTACACACAAGTGCAATTTGTTGGCAAAACCTAAGCAACAGTTTTCTGAAACATACATTTATGTTCCAACATTGATACATAGATACAATGTCTTTTTTATTAACATTTCATTATTGTTAATTCTAATATTGATTATGAATATTTAAAATTTATAGCCACAGAAGTGTTTAAAATGAACGCTTATTCTATGAGATCTTGCTCAAAATGATGTTCTCTATCTGATTTGACCTCCAACAGAATCAACAAACAAATATTTCCAACATCCTCCAATATTAGGAGCAGGGTGTTCTGCTGTAGAGGAGAAGAGTGTTCCTTTGTGTTACATTATCTCCTTGACTTAAGCAAGATCTGAGCAGAAGACATTTGTTCTGTGTTCGGTGGTCTTGGGTGGTATTGGTCTTCGTGCGTGTTGAAGTCAGTCTCACTTGCTGCCTGACCCCTGCAGAGGCTCGTCTTTATGACACTTCATTAGGCAGAGAGTCTGAGGTTTCTCAGAATCTATATTACATTTGTCCTTGTTGAAATGTCTTCTTATTCATACTTCTAGATTTGGATGCTTAAGCAATCCTCTTCTTTTACTCCTAGGATTTGCCCCTCATTATATCCTTGACGGGTTTTTCTGATGAGAACTGGTCCCTGCCTTCAAGCTGCAACTGATTTTGTTTTCCACTTTTCATTTTTAGGGCCTTATATTACTACCTTCATTTTTTTTCCAACAATTTTTGTCCCCTATTTCAATGATATACTATGGATCTCATTGGATTTCTACTGTACAACACTGTTGGGTCCTGGGTTTCATAACCTGGGCTCTCAACCTATCTCTTAGTTCAAACTCATTCCAAGAAGTAAATAAAAGTCCTAATGTCCAGCTTAGGAGGAGAGTTCTGGCTCTTTATAAAGGAAGAGCATGACACCCAAACACTAGAAAAATTGTATATGATACAGGAAGACAACAGATTCCACTTTGCAATCCATTAGGTTATGTTAAGCACAGTCAGAGGTTTTGAAGACTTGATGGTAATTACCTCTTATTAAAAGAGTGGCTGTAAGAAGTGCAGTTGAAGCAAATAAGTAGCATTAAAACTTCTAAAATCATGAGGCAAAGGTATAATTGGGCTGTTTTGCATATTTGTGAAAAAAATAAGAATAAGAATTATTTAAAGAGCAGATTCGTACCCACACTGAGTATAAAAGTCCAGGTACAGGAGGTGATATTCATTCTCATGAACCTCACCTTCAACACCCACCCAAATCCCCACCCCTGATGCAATGAGCTACTATGGCAACTGCTATGGTGGCTTTGGCTATGGCCTCGATGGCTACGGTGGCCTGGGCTACAGCTGTGCTTCCAGCTGTGGTCTTGGTGGCTATGCTGGTTATGGCTGTGGCAATTTCCATCCCTCTTTCTATGGAATATATTTCCATCTCTCTTTCTAGAGTAGATACTGGTCCTCTGGGTTTTACTAAAAACATTGTCCATCTGCAATGACTTGTTTCCTTGATCCACAGTTCATCACCTAGGCTGGTATGTTCACTCCTGCTATGGCATTGACATGAAGTTTCCTTCTTTATCCCTTCAGTGAAGTACCTGTGCATATTCTCCAATAAGCTTTGTGAAGTTTCTAAACCTTGTTTCACTTTTATTTGCCCACCTAAATTCATGTTTTATGACTTTTTCATGTCTAAATCATATATTTCATTGAAACATATTTTCCCCATATATTTATTTATTTCCTTACAACTGATCTTACTAATTTCAGTGTTTTGTTCAGTTCATGCTTCCATTTGATTTGGAATTTCACAGAACCAAATAATTTTAGAACAAATAATTTCCAATGAAGGTATTTTTTCACTACAAAGTTCAAAGTTATGTGTAGCACATGTTGTATTTTGACTACTATAGTATGAATAGTTAAAAATCTTCAGTGATTTAAGGTGGGAGCATGTCTTTCTTGGTGACATCAGATTTTGTTGAATTACCAAGCTGTGCAAAAACAGGTATATATGGACAGGTGTTCTGTTGTCAGGATACTTGAATACTATGTGTCTACTTAGAAGCCAAAAGTATTATGATATATTGATTAACTCCCTACTGCCTCTGCTCTAAGTCACACTATTTCTTTTACTGTTTTCCAACTATTTGATTGCTGCTAATTTCTCCTAGTTTAAATCTTGACTGGAATTATTTTTCAGATATTATACTTCATGTTTTGCTTTCAACTGTGAGACTGGCCATGAACTTCTACCTCATGTTTGGCTTCTTAAGATCTCTCTTCTAATCCCTGACCTACTATTCACCCCATTCTGTGGGCCTTCTGTGTTCCATGTATCGAACCTGATTCTCACAAATAATTCAGCAGTGCATTCCAGAAGATAAGCATAATGCTAGTGGTGATTCGTTTTGTTAGAGAAAGTTAGGATAATGATAGGAGTGGTACTCACTAACCCCACAGAAAATCTAAGCTTTCAACCAATTCAGTAGCAAGTATTTATACAGTATTGCAGTGAATCTATAAACTGATCCTACCAAAGTAAGCCTATCCTACCAATAAGAAAGAACTATGACTATTGTTCCATTATTTTTAATATATTCTCATATTCTTTGTTATGTTTTGTTTTATACACACCCAAATACCTGCAGATAAAATGGTATGGTATCTGTATTTTTTTCAAAATTGTAAAAACAAGGAGTTAGTATAGGTATAAATGAAAGATAACTAACAATGAAATGATTATAGCTAAAAATAATTAACATTCATCTAAGGGTTCATTATTGTGCCTATGGCTATGTTTTCCAAGACAAAGGTATGGATAAAAGGAGAGTTCCTGTGGCCAGGATTCTCACCTGGCCCTGGCTGACTAGTTCACTGCACACCTGTGGGCAACACATGGCTGTTGACTGTATGTAGAGAGCTCTGCCCAGTGCTCTGGGCACGACATGGTGGCACGGCTGCAATGCTGCAGGACAACAGAGCAGAGGCTGGAGTGGTGGCAGCACCAAGGACAGAGGCCCAGAGGACAGCTGTGTGGGACAACTGTGCAGAGAGGCCCAGAGGATGGCTGTGCAGACAGAGGGGCCCAGAGGCATACCCCGGCTCGCTGCATACAGACTCACTCTGAGTGAATGGGATTTTACTGACTGACCTGCCACATGGAAATAAAGCTGGGTATAACGCTTTCACCCCAAGAACATTTTGCTGTTAATTTCTTTGGTCACACTGAATCCATAGCGAACTTGCCCAGGGCTGAAACCCATTGGGCAAGACAGTAATCTATTTGTAAAGTTCAGTTAAATATTATGTTCACTCTAATTATTTCAGTTCTGTATGATCTAGCTTTTCATGTCCATTAAGTTCTAAAGAGCATATCTTTCCATGGTAGGCTTTTAACTGTAATATAGCAAAAGGTGTAGAAAAATATTACAGTTCTTTAGCTAGATCGTACAGAACTAAAATAATTAGAGTGAACATAATATTTAACTGAACTTTACAAATAGATTCCTTAGCTAGATCATACAGAACTGAAATAATTAGAGTGAATGTAATATTTAACTGAACTTTACAAATAGATTACTGTCTTGCCAATGGATTTCAGCCCCGGGCAAGTTCACTGTGGATTCAGTGTGACCAAGGAAACTGACAGCAAAACATTCTTGGGGTGAAAGGTTTATACCCAACTTTATTTCCAGGTGGCAGGTCAGTCACTAAAATCCCATTCACTCAGAGAGAGTCTGCATGCAGCAAGCCAGTCTCTGTCTCTGGGTCTCTTTGCCTACACAGCCATCCCACACAGCTGACAGTTGTCCCACACAGTTATCCTCTGGGCCTCAGTCCTCGGCACTGCCATTACTCCAGCCTCTGCTCTGCTCTCCTGCAGCCTTGCAGCCATGCCACCATGTCTTTCCCAGAGCACTGGGCGAAGCTCCCCATATAGAGTCAACAGCAGTGCACTGCCCACAGGTGTGCAGTGAGTTAGTCAACCAGAGCCAAATGAGAATCCTGGCCACAGTTACAATATGAGCTAATTGATCAAAAGCATAACAAATGATGAAAGTCACATATGCATTGTTTCTGATCATGTGAAAAGATGTATTACTGAAAAAATTAAAAACTAAAACTCAATATTTAATAGTAGATAATTAGTCTGATTATAGCATTTTGAGAGCTTCAAATGATAAGTTCTCCCTCACTAGGTATATTTGAAGATTTTAAAGATGAGTTGTAAAGGTGGAAAAGTGCTTTAAAAAGTTTGAAACCATGGAGAATATAGCCAACTATTCTATATCATCTTGATATGTTGATGGATAGTAACTGCAATAGTAGAGGTCAGGATTTAACAATATGAGTAACTGTTGAACCATTGTGTTGTACATTTGAAACCAATATAAAATTGTATATCAACTATACTTCAATTTAAAAAGGTTGAATCCAGAAAACAATGCTATCACAGATTTCCTGGCATTTTGTAACAAGGTCCCAACTCCTCTGTGACTTGGTTTAGCAACTGAAATGCAAAGAAATGGGTTTTAAAGATATGTGAGTTATTTAGGAAGAAACTTAACCAAGAAAGTGAAAGACTTGCACACTGAAAACTACAAAACATTGATGAAAGAAATGAAAGAAGACACAAACAAAAGGGAAGACACCTTATGATTATGGAACTGGAAAAAGTAATATTAAAATGTCTATAATTCCAGAAATTATGTACAGAAATAGAAAATAAAAATAATTTTACAATTTATATGGAAGTAAAAAGACCACAAATAGCCAAATATTTCAGGTCTTTTCATGTAATTCATTTTGAGATCAAACAATTATTCCTAAAATGTCATATCCTTTTATCAGTGTCCTGGATAAAATCATAGAATAATGAAGTGTTTATATGCATTGTAGACATGCAGAAGTTCTTTATCATCTGAAAAAAAACATACCTCCAAATCTTTCATTTTTGTTTGCACAAGGTTTCTGTCCTGCCTACATGCACAATTTGCTTATTCTTGCCCCTTGGCATTCATTGAACAACCACCTCTGGATGGTGTCCCCTCCCCTTTTCTCTGCAGAATTCTTAAAAACTGTGATGCAGCCCAATTTCAACCTCCAGAACTTACCTTGCAGGACAATCCAGCCTTCTATAGCTTTTCTCCTCAGGTAACTAACTTTTCTCTGATTCTTTACTTCCAGATTAAGTCCTATAGGACTGTGATCATTTATTTCTTTCTCACTTATTATCTTTTTGTCTAAAAGTATGGCTAATGATCTTTTATGTAATAGGTATTCAGTTAGTACTTCAGAAAGATTTAGAAAATTCCAATAGATGATGTGTCTTGGAATGTTTGAAAAAGGCTTCCCCATAGGTGTAGGAAGTGTAAGAACATTTAGTAGAAAGGTGTAAGAACAAGCTTAGAATGTAAGACACAAATCAAGTTTTAGAAACAACTGGCTGATCCTTCTGAATAGAAAGGTAGTGGGAAGAATTCTAAGCTGTGTTGAAACTGGGCTTGAATAGAATCTAACAGAAGTTGACCAATACAATTGGCAGGAAGTTACAGTATCATATCACAGAATGGACAAACAAAAGGAAGGTCAACTATTCATTGTTTTCTTGAATAAATTCTGTCTCCTATTTCAGATTTGTACACCAACTATGAACTTAGAGATAGATCTAGATAAACTGATAAAAATGCAATCTAAAGAGAAAAAATATAAAAATACCCTAAGAACTGTGAGACAGTACTAAAATGTGTATTATATACATAATTGTGATATAAAAAGTGTAGAGAATAATACAAAAAAAATAATTTGAAGTTATAGTGTCTGAAATTTCCAACACACCAAATAATAGATAGGGATACATCTGAAAACACAAACCAGAATACAACAAAACAAAATGGTCAGTAAAAGCCCCACACTAGACATGTCATCAACCTGCAGAAGATCGAACACCAATAGAAATTTCTTAGCAAAAAAAGCACCTTACCTCTCGAGGAACATTGTTAGGTATTACAGCAGACTTTTCATCTAAAACTCTACATGCAAGAAAAAGGTGGAATGAAATATCAGTGTTGAAAACACTCCCACAGACCTAGAATTCTATAGCAGACCTCACCCTTCAAAGTGGAAGGAGAATAAATACTTTCTCAGACAAAAACTGAAGGAATCCATCACCAGCAACCTGCTTTGCAAGAAGTATCAGAAAAATTTTAGGCATAAGTAAGACGATAAAGAAACTTGGGTCTACATGAAGAAAGGTAGAGTTGGGAAGGAATGGAATAGAGAAGGAATCCAAGAAGACAGAGTGGAATCTTTGTTTTTCTTGTCCTTAATTAGTCAAACATATAACTGTTCACTTAAGGCAACAGTAGTAACAATGTATTTGGTGCAACAGCAT